GTATTCAAAGATTAGCCATTTTCATCATATGTATTATTGATAGTGATGTTGCTATGTTCTATTGATTATTAAGGAAGATTTTGTAAAAAGAGGAAGAGGAATAGTAACGATAATGATAATGATAATGACAATAACAAAAATAATGATGATAATATTGATGATGAGGATGATGATAACAATAATAATGGTAATAACAATGGTAATAATAATAATAACAGTAACAAAACGGTGAAAAACAACATGCATCACCGTTACCATTGACAAATGATAGATTGATATCAAACCCCAAGATCAAAGGGTAGTTTTTTTTTCTTTCTTGGTATTATAAGATAAAAAAAAGGGTTATAGTATGGAACATTGTCAGCGTAAAAGTAAGAAAAAGACGAATAGTTGAAATTATACCTTTATTTTCGACATCTGTCCGCGGAACAGTGTGTGACACGTAATACTTACGATATGCTTTATTAGCAACAAGCAAATAAATACAAATAACACCTACGTATAAAAATCCGAGCTAAAGAATGTCATAGTTGTACCATTTATCATCAGTTTTGAATTCTTACTGGCTGTAACTTCCAGAGGTGTCCTTGGGCCTGCGGGCGTCCTCCTCGGCGGCGAAGGCGATCTGCTCGAGGACGAAGTCGGGGATCGGGTGGGGGAACTCGGGAGCCACGGGCAGGAGGTCGGACTGGGGCTGGAAGCCGTTCTCGTCAGCCACGAACTGGACTTGTACTGGGGTGCCGTCGGGTGCGGTGTAGCTGTGAATGAACCGGACTTGCTGACTTTTTTTTTTTTTTTTTTTTTTTTTTTTTTTTTTTTTTTTTTTTTTTAGAACATTTTTCACAGTTATCAGGGGCATGAACTGGACTTGCTGAACCTGACTGAATGTGTTTTTTTTCAGAACATTTTACACTGTTATCAGGGGCAAGGATGGCATTATTAAATCCATTTAATTAGTGGAGAATAAAAATCGTATGTGTATGAATATAAATACATCAATAGAAAATAAAAGAGAAGGGCCAGATGAAATAATTGACGTCTCTGGTCTAACCAAAATGGAGATTAAATATTTAAATTCACTTCGATTATCCATTGAAGCCTTATCGTCTAATCCAAATTTATATTGAATTAGACGGTTTTGGTAATTCCTTTTTCACTATCTCTCTCTTTTGTACTTGAATGTTACATTTAATTATCTGCAAAAGATTGTCGTGTATACAGATGTTGGGCTAGTGCACTTATGTGTATGGGGGTAGGGGTGGATAGGTAGGTATCTATGTCTATAATTCTTTCTGTAGCCATGTCTCTATCTGTATATATGTACATATTTGAAAAAAATGTATATCACCTATCTAACTATCTATCTGTTTATCTATTTATCAATCTACATACACACACACACACACATATATAATGTGTGTGTGTGTGTGTGTGTGTTCATATATATATATATATATATATATATATATATATATATATATATATATATATATATATATATATATATATATATATATATATATATATATATATATATATATATATATATATATATATATATATATATATATATATATATATATATATATATATATATATATATATATATATTATATATATATATATTATATATATATATATATATATAATATATATATATATATATATATATATATATATATATATGTATGTATGTATGTGAATATATTTGATATCTGTATATATGTGTGTGTACATATGTATGTGTTTATGATTATATATATATATATATATATATATATATATATATATATATATATATATATATAAACACATATACACGCATCTACATAAATTTTTGTGTATGTACTGCAAACACGCATATATATACCATTTGCGCCATCGGAATATTTTTGTTGATTCAATCAATTTCACGTGACAGTTCTTACGTGATTATCATGTCAGTAACATTATCCAAAGATGAAAACTTCCATGTCGATATTAGAGACGATGATGAGAAGGAGGATTAATGGCGATACATTAATTAACAAGAGAAGAGAAGTTCCTGGCTTCTTTCCGCCTCACACGGCAAGGTACTCACGAGAATCGACCGGCGCTGTTGATGGCTCCCTCGGAACCGGGAGAGCCAGACTCGGACAGGACGATGCCGTTGCCGGTCTCGAAGTCGAAGTTGTACCTTCCGTCGTCCTCGATCACGCGGTCGTCCCTGAGGATGGGCACCTGCTGGGCGTCAGAGCGAGACTGCGGGGCGCCGTAGCTCTGGGGGGCGGCGGCGGCCACGGCGGACAGAACGGCGAGGATAACCTGAAAGAAGGGCAGTGTCATGCATAAATTAAGACCCAAAGCAACTGACGAAAGTATTCTAAAGATGTGTTGATGTTATGGTCGCTTTATGAGGTCGATTGAACGTTCACTGAGAGGAATATTACAGTAGTTTTGTGAGTTGTGGTGGTGAACACTAGACTGCCATAGCACAAAGAAAAACTCGATGAAGATGGGG